GGGGGGCGCCTGACCTGGATTGTCTGGTCCCCGCCATGGCACATGGTCGTCCACGGCACCCATTCACCGCCGTGACCACCTGCTCTCGGCGCCCTGCCCCCAGGTGTATCCGGGGAGCCGCAGGGATGCACTCACACTGCTGGGCCTGATCACGCCTATCCGGGACACGGACGCCCGCGAGGACCTCCAAACCCTGGCGCGCATGTACTGCTCGGCGCTGGAGATGCAGCTGAGGGACAAGAGCCGGTGAGCTGGATCTTCCGGGTTGCTTGGGTGTGACCGGGCGGGGGCGGCATGGGCCCTGCACACACCTGGGACGGCCCATGGTGTGTGCAGGGCTCTGCCTGCCGGTGCACATCTGACCCCGGTGAGCAGCCCGTCGCGGCCTTGTCATCGGCACCCCACCCCCCCGCGGCAGATCGATGCCCGACACCCGCGAGGAGTACGCGGGCCTGCCCAGGAAGAAAGTGCCACGTTCACAGCAAGCAAAGAAGCCTGCCGCGGCGCCAGCCGCCGCGCGGGGCGGCGAGGAATCATCGGCCGCTCGCCGTGTGCCAGAGGAGGAGGAGCAGCGGCCGGGCGTAGTGTCTGACGAGCGGCCCGGTTCGCCATCAGAGGCCCGGGGGCGCGGCGACGTGAAGGCCAGGCGCGGCACTGGCGACGACGACGCCGAAGCTGCCACCACCGGCCGGAGGCAGGCGGGCCTCCTGCCCCCAGGGTTTTCCTCTCGTACACAGATCCCCGGGACGCATGCGGCTCAGGCTGGGGATGTGGCCCGCCCTGACAGGAGGACGTCAGAGGTTCGAAAGCCAGCCGATCCCAGCCGCGAGGGCAGGCCTCCCAGCCGCCATGCCAGCCAGTCGGCGCTGGATGGCCGCGAGAGGGAGGTCCGCCCTGCCATGAGTGCCCGACTCGGACCCAAGGCTGCCACTGCCCGCCCCGAAGGTGGGTGAGGCGCTTGAAGCGCTGCTTGACGGGGAAGGGCAGGGGGGGGAGGGAGTCCTCACCAAGGTTGCGCCCAACTCCTCGCCAGAGGTTGCGGAGTGCAAGGGCGATGTGCTGACAGCACAGGAACTTGCTGCTGAGCCAGCTCTCTGCGAGCTCTCATCCCCTTCCCCTCTTTCTCCACCCACCGTGCAGGAGGCGCAGAGGGATCGGCATCCTCCCTGCGCCCAGATGCGCCGCCCTTCACTGCAGAAGGTACGCGGGGAGGTGGCACTCCGTGGTCTGGCGGCAGATGGCAACTGCGACCTGTGGCCGCCTGCCGCACCCCTCCCCTCCGCCTGCAGGCAGGCCTGTGAATGTGGTCATGAGTGGCCCCTGCTAGATTACACCCGAGTGCGGCAGCCGATTTCAGCAAGGTCTTGCGTCCTCCTTGCCCTGCAGGCAAGCACAGGAGGGAGGCTGCTCAGCCTCGGGCCTCCGGCCTTAGGACCAGGCCCAGCACCCCAGAGGATCCCTCGGCGTCGGGCGCTGAGCCGAGCTCGCGCGACAGGCCCAGGAGGTCCACCCTGTCTGAGGAGGCCGGGGAGGAGGCAGGCGCCCCGGCCCCAGACAGGCAGCCTCGCGAGGGAGCGCGCATGCCCGCACGGCGCACGGATCGGGAGGACCGCGTGTCTGCGAGGCTTGAACCCCCTCCTCCAGGTGGGGAGACCCTTGGAGGATCCTCTGGCGCCAGGCGGTCTGGAGAACGCCACGCCGTGCGAGACGACAAGGCTCGGACGGGCGGCAAGGAGCCCTCGCCGAGGGGCACAGCGAGCGACCGCGAGGGACCGGCCGAGGAGCGAGAGGGCGACCCCGCGGACGGGAAGGCCTCCAGACGCACCCGTGACGACAAGAGGGAGAAGAAAGAGAAAAAGAAGAAAGAGCGGCATGTCAAGGTAATCCTGCGTCCCTTAGATCTTGGACAGAGGGGTGGGTGGAGCGAGCACCTATGCGTTCCGGGCTTGCAGAGTTCGCCGTGTCCATTGCAGGGACCAGAACCCCTCTCGGCATTCACCCGCCGGCGTCGAGCTCTCCTCTGCGATGTTGTGTGCCGCTCCTTCGCATTAAACCCCCATTTCCTGTTTCCCCCACCCCCCACCCCCCCATCCCCCACCCACATCCCCCTCCCTCGCTCGGCCCCTTCATGGACCCCTTGTCCAACCCTTTTCAACGCCCCTTCCCTCTCTCTCCAGGAGAAGCGGGCCCATCGCACCAGGAGCAGGGAGCGCAGCGTGAGCCGCACCCCGCCTCCGCCAGGTGGAGCTGCTGGCCAGGCCACGGGGCCAGATGCAGCGGAGCTCCGGCGGGCCGACGTCGGTCCCCGCTCCCCCACCTCGCACAGCTCGTCCCGGGATGCGCCCCGAGCCTCCCACAGCGGAGCAGGGGGATCCACCCTGGCGGGCGCCCGCGAGCCCAGGGAGGACACCGGGAGGCGGGGGCCCAGCCCGGCGCGGCAGCCCGCGCGCGTGGCCCGGGTCGAGGCGGACGTGGGCCTCAAGCGTCAGCGAGAGCGCATCACCTGGCAGTCGGAGGCGCGTGCGGAGCCGGAGGCCAGGCCGCCGCCGCACAAGGTGGCGCGCGGCGAGCGTTCGCCGCGCGCGAGCGCCGCCCCGGCCCGGCAGGAGCGGGCAGCGGAGGGGCCCGCCCCGTCTCGGGGCGACGCCCGGGCCCCGACGCGCGGCCGGGAGGGCGCGGAGAGGCCCGGCGGCACGGCAGCGAGGGGGGAGGGCCTGCCAGAGCGCATGCGCGGCCGCGTGGGATCCCTGGACGGGGCCCCGCACGCCCCGGCGCGGGCGCCCACGGTGATGCAGGACGCCGCCGGCAGGCGTGGGGCCGGCAATCGCCGGACGGGGCGGAGGTAGGCAGGCTCTCCTGCCTGGCCCAGGCAGGCGTATGTTCCCTGCTGGTCCCAGGGTTGAAGCTGCAAGCCCATTCCCAAGTCACCGTCGCTGTCCTTTTCTCCCTGGTGGTTGTGTGTTCAACAACCTGATCGTCACGGCAACACCCCCAAATTTCAGACAGATCAGGGGATGGGAAAAGGACGGGGAAAAGGGGGAGGGCACAGCTACAGATAGCTGGTGGTGTATGCTCAAGCACGCCCGGCTGGACGCCCGTACCATCCCAGCCGCAGACAGATCTCCTCAGACTGCTTGGTTGGATCATGGAATCCCTTGCTTGGCTCGCGCTTGAAATGTGTTGCAGCGCGCGAGACCGCTGCCTTTACATCTTGTGTCAGACCGAAGGCAGCCGGGTGCAGACGCGGACCGGGACCCGTCTCCCCTATGTAAAGCTGGTAGGGAAACGAGCTGAAGTGGTTGAATGCGGTGGCGGCAAAGGAGCAGGAACCTCCAGAAAGGCAGAGGTCATTGTTTCGCTGTCATAGTGGATCTCCCTGGTAGGAGTGCCGACGCGACAAAGTCGTCGCAGCCGCAATGTGGACGGAGCATCCGGTCCGCTGTCGGCCTTCCCCTTCAGCTTCTGGCCCGGACGTATGTGCCGAGGGGGAGCTTGTAAATTTGTCCGCATAAGGAGTTTTCAGCATCTACAAGAGTGCTCAGGGGCTCTGTCATCTCTGTGCACAAATTTGGGAGACAAGGACTTTCATATCTTGGCCAAGGGTGAGTGGGGCACGATGCCGTCGCACGTGCGGACACCTCATTGGAGCACCTTGCTCCTTCTGCTGAGCTCTGGCGTGCTCTCAATGGTAGGTCCGATGGGCGCTCTCTGTTGTCGTTCGCCTTCCTCAGAAAGGGGGGGGGACGCGCAACACTTGCCATGTCCGGCGATCTGTTGTGGGGGCGGGTTAGACCCTACAGCGTGGACCGCTGTATATGACCCAAGATAGGAATGTTACAGACAAGACCCCGAATGCGGTGAGGGGCTTGGGTTTCAGGCACGGTGCCAGGCGGCATAGGCGCGGCGCAGGGCCCGGATGCAGGTGGAAAGGGGGGAAGCCTCCGGAGAGGGGGCCCCCACAACAATTGATGGTGCTGCGAGACCCATACGGCTGCCGATGGCGGCCACTGCTGGAAGATTGCATCGAGCAGGTCAGCCACCCTGCACACCGCCGATGTCCTTCCAGGCCTTTCTCGT